CAGGGATAATTGTGATAGTATGAAGTTGAATATGCATGATGCAAAAGTTCTTTAGAATTTACATTTCTAAGAGTTCATCGGAATCTCAAAATTAATGGCATCATTCACCAGTTAATTAATCTTGAGTATGCTACTGTACTTTTCTGTGAAATTGTGTTTATTTCTCTACTGGTCAGTGGATTGAGCTTGCTATATCTTCTTCAAATTTCGATTGTGTACTTGGATTTCGGTTTGTGTTTCTCACAAAATTGCTACATGATTATTAGAAACCTTCAAATTGCACCTGTTTAGGACCAAAGAATGTCCATACGAGCATTTCTTTTGTAAAACACTAACTACTAGTTGTTTATTGTAGCAAATAGAAAAACACTTGTCCTTAATTACTTAACTCAAGAAAGTTGTGTCCCAACATTTTTGGAGTCAACTACATGAATCTTGTTTTGCCGTTGTGTAATTATATACATTTTTTAGCACCGATCGTACCAGGGTTTGTTGTTGGGAATGTGAACGAGGCCCCCACTGGAGGAAAACGAGCACATCTCGGGGTGGAGGAGTGTGTTGAGGGCTTGTGAACCCCTTCTCAAATCTGCTATGTCTTAATAGATTTGCCGGTCTACTTTGCACATATCGACAATGAAATAATTTAAATGTGTGAAGTCTATCATCAGTACAGTCTATAACATTTGTAGTCCATATGGAAACAGCATGTGTCCAACTTCGGACATGAAGAGTCTTGAATAGTGAACTTAAGTGGACATGGCCAGAATACGGTTAGGACACGGTTAGCATACTTTTTTTTATAAAAAAATGACTGTTAACTATTAATAGTGGTGCGTTTTTTTTTTTATATATTTTTTGTTATGTAATTTGTATATTATGAATGTTAATGTATATAAATGATCTTTAATGAAAATGGTGGATATTTCTATTTCAATTTTAATTAAAAAGTTAATATTTGTTAGGTCATATTATTAATATTGTTATAATATAGTGTTATTGTTAATATATTATAACTCTATTATTATCTAACAAATATATTCTATTATTTTAATGGATGTATTTTTGTTGTCCTATATTCTCGAATTTTTTCATATTCTCGTGTTCGTATTATATCGGATACGATACCCGTGTCTGCATCAGTGCTTCCTAGGTGGTCAACAATGTATGTATATTTATACCCACAGTACATTAGAGTTAGCTGTGTGGGGCCCAAATGGGTTCCACCAACAGTTTCGATGGAATGGCTGTAGATACACCCTTCTTGCCACCTCTCCACAAATACAAGTAATACTGATAATTTTCTTGCAATAAGTTAGTGGACAACCAATATCAAGATTTACTAGCAATCCTTCAAGTTTGCAGTTTGTTGGCTTATAATTTTTGCAGTATCATATCGCTTACTTCTTCCTTCTACTATCCCCATTTATTCTGTTCTTTACTTCAAACAAGCTACATATATCCACAGGAAGATATCATAAAATCTTGCAGTTGATCTAATTTAATTCCCCTTTTTCCAGTCTTTGGCTTCAGCAGTATGCAAATACAGGTCAACTTGCTTTTGAGCAGGGTGGTGAGGAGCTGTTGATTGGAAATGTCACCATAGTTGGTTCATTAATGTTTATTTTTTAGCTTACTCCTGCCCCTGTGATGGCTTAGTAAGTATATTTTTGTCAACTTGAAAGTGTTTTTGAATGGTTACTGTGTGATTTTCTATTATTATTGCATCAACATTGGATAATGGTTACGATGCAAATAAAAAAATTTGGAGTTCTGGAGATTAAATTAGCGCATAAGTTATTTGATGAGGAAAACTAGATACAAAATTCTGGCACTCAAAATCTTAAGAAACAGGAAGTTAAAATGTTGGTACAACAGAATAGAGGGATACAAAAGTAAAAGAAAGGAAGAAAAGCTTTTTTTCTAAGGATTATAATGCAATCATGCCCTCTTACAATGAAAGACTAGGCAGCTTTTTAGGAGGGCAAAATGAAAAGGTGACTAGTCATTTGTATGTTCAAATTTTTAAGCTTTAATAATGTCTTGGCTCCTAATAACAGAAAAAATGCTGGTTTCTTGTATACAAATGTGTGACAAGAATTTTATGATCTCCAGATTGAGTGTTTGCAAGCTCACATCTTCACCTATGTTAGGATTGGTTGGCATCTTATTGTCGCAACAGCCATGCTTGGAGCTTTGTTATAAAAACAAGGTCTCTTTGAGTTCATTTCACTTCAAATCTTCACCCTACCTCATTCTTCGGTATACTCCTGCTACTGCCACTGTGTTTTTCTATGCATTTTTTTTCTCTAGGTCAAACTTTGTATGTTTCTTGCATTATCATTATCAATGCATGAAAGTTGTGACTTGGAAATACTTATCTTCTGTCATGGTACCACTAGGAACAGCTGTAAGGATGGTAAAAGCAGTTAGTACCTGTAAAGTCTTGTTCGAAAATGATATTGTATAATATTGGACATAAATCTAGCATTTGTTGACTGACTGGATGTCATTATTCCTACTATTTTATCAAGAGTTGGTACTTCATTTTTTTTTAACCAACTAAGTAAACAAAATTTAGAAGGTTTCTGGTGAGCTTATCATTGGTTTAGTGGAGTGTTAGATGTAGATTTTGCTTCAGTATGATTTTTATACTGAACATGCTCAAGTTTATTCGAATGTTAGTGTTGTTGAAATATCTGCCAAAATTTTCATTTCTGTGCAAGATTTCCATCTGATTTAAATCTCTAGGATAAAACGGTAGATTCCAAATTAACACCATAGAACTTATAGGGATACTTATTTGAAGTTGGTCCATGAAGCCCTTCAGAAAACAAGTGGTGAAGAAGTGGACTATGTTAACTGAATTAATTGATATCCTCAATTTCATCAACTTTTTGACAAGCAAGTGCATGAAATGATAATGTGCATGAAATGATAATGTTCAATCTCTTTATTACTTTGGTTGTAGCATGCTGCACAGACCCCCCAAACTCACTCACGCGACAAAAGAAGGCTTCAAACTAGTGTACAGCTGTAAGCTAGGATATCCATTCCTAGCCATGACCCATTATGTTATATATATCAAAATCAAAAGAATATTTCAACTTCTGCTGTGCATTGGAAATTATGTTTTTCGGTAACTTTTACCCCTTGAAATATTACGGCTTGAAGAAAAATGTGATATTGCATATTTCACACACAATTCTTTCCATATTTAGAAAAGTCAGGTAAGGTTGCTCCTAAACTAGCTTACAACAGTCTCTTTTGATGCCCCACTTCTCTTTCTTCAATTGTTTAGAAGGATATCAGAGGATAACGTGGTATGGCCATAACGGCTTAGCATATCTCAAGTATTTTCTTAGGTTAGTTTTCTTATAAAGACATTTCTCTTTGTACATGTACCGACCAAATATTTCTCATATTGCTCCAGGCAATTGTTAGCAGCAGTTAAGGTGGGACCTATAAGAACAAGAGAAGAGGGAATGTTGTCTGAAAGGATTTGACCATGCGTAATGAAGACCAGTAAATGCACCATTACTGGCTATGGAGTGGATTATTTTTTATGTCAATTTGCCAGAAAAGCAAGGGGAAGGCCAAAAAAAAACGTAGGTTGAGACAATGTGAAGATCCTCAGATTGTCAATAGATCTGAATGATACATAGTATTCAAATTGCAGATTTCTGGTAATTTGCAATAGGCTTTATTAGTAAGGTATCATCAACCACAATAGATTGTTCTAGGAACTACTTAACCTTTTTCCCAAAAGAAGAGGTTTAGCTGATTTGTATCTTGGATATGTTCCTGTAACCTGCATGATGTTGCCGAGCCTTTGTAAATTTAAATTCAGGACATCCTATGATTTGACTACTTAAGCAGAAGTCTTCCCCATGGAAACACCGCCTGTGGCGTTACTTTTTATATGGAACCAGAAGCTGCCTGTAATTCTTCCTGGAAGTTCTAGTATGTTCTTAATGCTCTGGATCATTTGGTACTCTGGTTCAGATGGAGTGAAAATATCAGAGACTCCAGATGATGTAACATGGACTCCAGATGATGTCACAAATTATGCTTTACCTTTGCAAAACAATCATATTGCAGTCGCTTTCTTTATCATGGAGTCATAAAGGTTTTTGTTGGTTAAACTGCTGAAATTGCAAATTGGGTTATTCTTCTTGATGTTACATTGACCCTACATGGTTAAAATGTACCAAGGTCATCTAATCTCAATCTGAAAAAAAAAAAAAACGCGTGAAAATAATTTGTATTATTCTCTCTTGTATAGAAATTCAATATGTAAATGTATTCAATCATATAGGATCCCAACCCAAATTTGATACATGGACTCAGTTTTTTGTATCTGGAATCCAGCAGGAATCAAACTTGCACATTTAGTGTAATATTTTGTTAGCAATGAGCTTCGGAATAACTTATATCTGATCTGAATTTTATCCTATGACAGGCTTGGGATTGAAGGTGTTGGGGTTCCTTCCTGTCACCCATTTGGAACATCTGAAATTCTTGACAGGTTACATTATCTCGTTTCTTTTTGTAGTTATTCCTTTTTAAGCATCTGGAAAGCGCATTATGCTCTACTAATTCAAAGCCATAAGCTTTGTTGTGCCAACATTACTTCATGCCAGAGGCTATGGTTTCTCCTGTAACAAGACCTCTGACACCTTAACGAGGAGAAACGCGTCTAGCAGAACTTTTCATTTCAGTGTGCAATAACTAGGAAAGGAATTGAACTTCTATTCTATTGGCTTACAGATGATATGTAGAATGATATACGAGTCAGTTCAAAAAAAGAAAGAGAAGATATATGAGTCCGTAGTCTTTTATGTGTGTGTGTGAGTATGCTACGTTTCCTTATAGATCTCGATACAACCAACATTGTGGCTTGTTTTTGGGTGCTTTTAACTGCTTATTTTTTAACATATGTTTTGGTTGAAATTTAACTGTTCTGAGGATATTAGTTTTTCTGCTACCCGGTAAGCCTGCAAAGTAGAATTGTAGATTGGACAAAAGATCATTTATCGAGGAATTCGCTTCGCACTGGTTCGCCAAACATAATCCAACCCAATACAATACTTGATATAGACAATCCAGGAAGTTATTATCGGCTGGAACATTGTTAGAAATCTCAGCTTATGATTTCTACATTTTCACATTGCAAGATTTCTTACCAAAAAAAAACATTGCAAGAATATCTTGTCTTAGAGCAATTACTTTTCACCAATACTATCCTCCCTCGGACTAGGGATTTAGATCCCCTCCACTATTTTTTCCCCTCTATTTTCCTCCCTGGTAGATCGCTTATCATGAATTAAACGGGACTAATTGTATATCTATGGGTTTTCTTCTTCTGAAAGAAAATGGAGGATAAAAGCATTGGACGAGATCTCAATCCCTCAATTAGCACTACCCCTACATTGAATATACCAAATTTATCTGCACTTCACTATGACAAGTAACTGTGACAAGCAATTTGTCACCTGAAAGAAAGTTTATTGCCTTGCTGTCGCTTAGTTACAAAAAGAATTTGTTCATTGACATCGTTTGGACTTTGGTGTATAACCATTTCATCCCATCTTAGGACACATATGAGCTTTTCTTAAGCATTCTCACTACAAAATTCCGATTGAAGTAAGACAAGGAATTAAGGGTACATCATCCTGCAACGATACAAAACCCGCCTTTTGTATAAGACTCGCGATCTCATGCATCTTCACACATCACGGGGCTTTTCCTCAGCCTGAAAAGTGATAGTGCCCTCCTTTTCCTGCACATTGGAACTATCTGTTTGTTCAACACTAGGCATTACTCCATCTTCCACCACAGGTGAATCGCCATTCTCTGTTATGCTCTTTTCGGCTGCATTTTGGACTGGTTTTGGCAGTTCCCTAGAACGGGAGGTTGCTAGAAGGCGGCCAATTCCATCAAATAAATTTTTGGCATCCATTATAAGAGCAGCTCCACCAGGGTAACAACGACCAAAGCATGTAGCACAATGTGGGAAAGCCACCTGAAAAACATAAAGACAAGACAAAAATGCTATTTGATGCACAAGAACAAATTGTAAGATAAAACAAACACAAGTTTGTTGAAGATCACCTCAATGAAAGCTCGGCAAAGCGAAACAAAAAGTACAGACTCATTCGCTCTAAGCATCCGAGTAGTGTTGTATCTCAATAAAGAATCCGAAACAGCGTGCAATCCCTTAACTAATTCTTGAGCAAGCATATGCTTCAAACTAAATGGGGCACAGGGACGTAATTCATTCATTGCTGCAGATACACCTACAACCACCAGAAACAGGGGGATTAGGTGTTGCACAAATCCATTTTACCACTCAAATATGTTTAGCAACACCCAAGTATCAAGTCAAAAGTCATCAATTATTAAAGAACATGCTTCACACTGGCTGGCCAAACTTGATGCAAGATCAAAACTCAGACAACACTTGATATAGATATTCCATCACAAATCTCAGCTAATGATTTCTACATTTACATGTGCAAGATCTGTGCTGCTAGAAGGAGAATTTTATTCTTTTTTCAATGGTAGGGAGCGACCGAGAGATTTCCTTTCTTCTTGGAAAATGAGAAAGAAAGACCTGATAATGAGGATGCCTTGCAATTTATGATAGATCATGAGGTGCCACCCCAAGCCCTCCCCTTCTCCTTTTGGGTGGTAGAATCAATTCTAGTGTACGTGTTCAACAAGATTATGAATCTAAGCCATTATAAATAGTGGGAAAATCTAATCTGAATGCATTTCTGTTATACAATACTCTCCAACCTCAACAAGCACTGCCCCTGACATCGTTTTGGCTTCTATCAATTCTCAATCTACACCAGATGAATTGAAATCCAAACAAAGAAAGAATGGAGGCCTCGAAAACTGACACCATTTTTATGTCAAGGCCGGATTTGGATGGCAGGTAACAAGTACAGAAATGGTAGTCGCTTTCCTATTCTATATTAGACTTCCATGAATGAGATTTTCAGAGAATGGATATTTCATTCCACCTAGGAGATTGTAATCTCACATTCCTGACAGAGATGAACAATAGTTCCACAAAAATACCATAAATAGAACTTCAGAAAAAATCATGCCCTTATAAAGCATAAGAACTACTAGTCCATTAATTAATCTTCAAAGATATAAGAACTTTTCCGATACCCAGACTTACTGCTATTTCACACAATTGAACCAGCCAAGTGATGATTCCTTTCAATTCTCTCTTATTATTGCACTTCATTTCTCAGCCCAGCACAAAATTTGTTGTCTTGGTCTATGCAAGAATAATACTGGGGCAAACTCGCTTCAATGAGCGGGGGATTAATTACATGTCCATACATTTGCCATATTTTCTCATCCTAACCTCAATGAACAAAATTTCATTTCAAAACAGCCAAAATGCTTCATTTCCAAAGAAACAAAACCAAATCAGTGATTGAGTATCAAATTTCCTATTTCAAGGTGTTTCAATACGTTTTGAGGTATTTCAAATGTTCCAGAAATATTTTCATTTTTTCCTGTTTCCATTATATTTCAAAAATGTTTGTGAAACGTCGAAACGAAACTTTCATCCTTGCCCATTCTTACATTAGCTTTAACCTACAAATTTAACCCTTTAAACTGTAGTTCATAAATCAATTCACCAGCATACTGTCTCGAAAAACAACCACCAAATTTATGTTCTACGCAAGCAACAACTTGTCCATTGCAAAAATATCAGACAAGAAGACATTTAAGCTTACCATTAACAAATACAGCAAGAGGTGGATGCTCCATTAAATGTGACGGAGGAGTAACATCTTCCTTAGTTTCTTCACCTAAACTATGGGCCGGAAAGCCAACTGCTGGTAACGGGACCCAGCGATGAGAATCCAAGACTAACTGGAGTGAATTAAAATACATATATTAACAATCTTCACAAGAGGAGTAAAGGTTGTTGGCTTCAAGACAAAATTGAAGCCTAAAGTGCTCATTTGCGTGCAAAACTAAAGTCAACAAATAACTACAATTTTCTTCATTTTGGAAAAAGGAAAACTCTTGTGAAAGTAACAGAAAGCAAACAAGAAATTTCAACCACTTGCAAGTATACCTGGAAATTCCCAACAGCTGTGCTCATATTCTTTGAGAATAAATTAAGGACCGCTCTGCGTAAGTGACAATCGAAATTAATAAGAGGGTTAAGAGTGGGGACTCATGGCAGAATGAAAAAGCAACTAAATAAATGAACCAAATTATGCATGCATTTACTCTTCAAAAAGTGGGGGAAGCAAGCCCCTGAAGTCCAATCCAACCCAACCAAGCCCCATAGCACAATACTGCCAGCCACAAAGAAAGAGAATCTTGTCAAATTCACGATTCCACTCAATGGATTATGTTCCAAACAGTGTTGCACCTTAAAAGAATTCATAGTGCAAGCCCCCAAAAGAATTGCATATAAAGGGCACAAAAAGCTACAACTGATTACATTTGCATCACAAAGACATCACTTACAATGAATATAATTATCTCAATGTAAAGCAGGGTAGTTACCACTGTAATGAGTTAATCTCTGATGATAATTTCCATCTTATGTCATAAGCTTAAAAAATGTGGTCACATTCCACCCCAGGGTAGTTTCCAAGTTCCAAACAAATATGTTTGGAGGTAATATCTTCTTTTTTCTGAGATAACTAACCTCTTTAACTTTAGTTATAAAAGAAACAGGCAACCCATTGTTCATCAGAAATTAGCTCCATAGGGGTTAACTATTAAAGTTATAGTTCAGAATTTGAGATTCTCTCTGAAGAGCATAATTTGACACAAAATTAAGCTCCTGCTGATAAGCGACTCAATCCCCATGCATGCACAGGTATGAGTTTACACAACTCACAGGTCATGGATTCTATGTAGATCAAAGATTATTCCTCATTCATATCCACCCAAATGAAAGAAGAATGGAATGTCATTATCATGCCTGATCCTAAAGGAATAGCCACTAAATCCCAAGAAGTTGTTTTGGAATAGGTACCCGTACAAGTTCTGTGACAAAAGACATATTTTCAAAATAAAAGTTCAAGCAAAGAGTGAAGATGCAGATCGTTTAGTATTGCAATAAATGGCCGGATTACACATATCTATTATAGGTTTCAAAGTTGCAGTTGCAGTAGACATGCAATTTACACAACCGTAACAGTATGTTCTCACCATGCACTGATCCAGGATATTCGACAAAGACCCGCCTTCAGATATCTTGGGGAGCATGACTTTGAGAGTTTTAAGGTGAGAGGCAATTTGATGCATGGCCCAGCTGAACAGAAGCCCACCATCATAGTTTTCTTCACTTCCTGATGTATCATCAGCGAATATGGCTCGGTATTGGTTAACAACATCAAAAAGATGTGCCCTCTGACAGTTTACCATTCCTTTTAAGTATTCATATGCATTTCTCTGGTCTAAATCATCAAGAATCCCAGTAAGCCATGCCTCTCGGCATCTTAGAAACTGTTGCACAGGATAATCTAGGTCAGCAACAGGTGTAAAAGGGAAGAACATAAATATACTCATCAAAACGGAAAACATGGAGACCACGTAAAACCAAATGCTTTTTGCATAAAGGTTTTATAAAGCTACCTGAAGACGCATTTCATATTCGCTGAATACGCCTATTCGACGTAGATATCCAATAATGCGGAGGCATTCTGGCAACTGCAATACACAAGGATATATGCATCAATGGGTTGAAACTTGAGAACCATAATTCTACACGAGTAAATTTGTGTTAAATATACATTCTTATCCTATTATTTTTGGCTATTTCAAATTACCTGAATGTTTGATCTGAGTTTCTGGAGAAGCTGAGAAAGAAGAGACTGGGTGGTCTGCCGAGTTTCTGCTGCGAGTGCTTGAATAACAGGTAATCTTTCAAAGGGAAGAAAATCAAAGAAAGGGAAAAAAATACAGAATGTTTTCAGTAAGATGCCTTAGTGAGGTTGACAGCTGAAACTAATGTGAAAAAGAATAAGTCTAAAAGATTACTCACTTTGGGTGCATTGTTAAAAGTTTGGAAACAAATGCTTCTAAGTCAAGAGCTTCATCGTAATTTCCATTCCTCACACATCTACAAATAGATGAAATTAAGTTATGCTTCCCGTTATGTTCCCAATATGTACAGATATGTCGAAACATATAACATCGGTAGTACAACACTTATGGTGGAAAAGGCACTTTAATTACCATAAATAGTATGGTCATGCATGATAGTACTGTCAAATTCTCAAAAATGACATCAAAAACTAAGTATATCCCCAAACTCGGTAACTATGATGGCTTGACCAAGTACACAACCTAAATAGATTATGGATCTTCAAGCACGATCAACTATTTTCAAACACGACAACAAAGTGAACTTCTGAAATTTTCCTAACATTGCTGACAATTACATGAATGAATGGCATCCTACAAAGTAAATCTACAAAATTTAACAAACTTTTTGGCCATTTCAGCTGGTCAGTAAATTGGATATTGATCTAATTTAACATGTGATCTTCACAACTTGTCAAACACATACGTGTCCATGAGTTGAGGAATTTCAAGCAAGTCAAGCAAAGTACTATGATTGGCTAGCAAGGTTTGGTTCATCTTTCTCTTCTCCAAAATCTGTTCTGCAGAGCCAACAAACTCGGTGCAGCCAGATGTTACCTTCGGGATTTCAGCTATCTGCAGAGGAAAAACGACAAGCATCAGTCATGTTAATTGAATTTCTATCTATCTATCTATATACATATATAGTAAAAGGACTACTACATCATAGGAATGAAATTTCTTCTAAATCAATTTCTGGCTTGAGACTAACATCTGAAACATCGCCACAGCAAATTGGAGATGTTGGGACTTGGGACAGTTAACTTACAATATCTAGCTTGGAGTGTCTGTATTGTGGTCTTCCAACACCTAATCCAAAATCACCTTGGATTTTCATCTGCAACATCCTTTTATGATGCAATTTACATTGACTTCTACTTTTTCAAGAAAGCAATCACTCTAATTGTTTCTGTTCTGACTTTGAAATGGGAATTTGAATATATAGCAAAAGATTTACCGATGAATGGACCCAAGTCTCCATAACTTCTACTTGATTCTGTCACTTCCTCTCTATTCCTGACTTTATCTATCTACATCTAAATTCTCTCTATACTTGCACATTCTAATAAAGAAAATACACCCTAAATATAATTCAAACAACAAAAAAGAACCCATTGCTGGTGGCACATCTCTTAAACCGATGTTCAGCAGTTTCGATGTAATGTTGTGAAACAACCTAAACAGTATTAGAAATGGTACGCAAAATACGTTTCTTCAAATCAGAGGCTATTGTCTAGTTAAGTAATTTGTAGCAAGGATATTCCAATGTCAGAATTTAAGTTCTTAAGCTCAAACCGAAACTTACAAATTGACAACAGTACAAATGAAATGACATTGTACAGAGAGAATTGAAACTACAACCCACAAAACAAACAAATTACCAGAGATTCAAGGTGTTTATCGATAGAAGAAACTTCATCCCCGACCGCAAGTAACGCATCGGATGCCGAAATGAATGCCCGGTAGTTTCCCACCGCCACCTCTTGCATCTGCCTCCGAATTCTCTCCGCATCGACCCGCAAAAGCTCTGGTTCCTACAAAACTATAGCAAATCAATATACAAAGGCAATTATACATATATAGATAACTATGTTTGTCTGCAGCGAGAGACACGGATTGGGGGCACCTTGTGAAGGCGATCAAGAGTGAAGGAAAGGAGTTCCGAGACGTAAGGCTGTTGAGAGATGGAAACCAGTGGGAGGAGACCCGCCACTGTTGCTGTATCATCTGCCGGAGGTTCGGACTCCATTGTCATAACTCGATACTGAATCAAGAGCTCAAATCTCAATTGGATTTAGGGTTTTGATCTCTTTTCTGGAGGTACAAGGAGACACAGATCTGAACAGAGAGACGAACACACACACACGTTCTAACTGTGTTTTCCGATTCTGATTTAATATCGCAACTGATTTTTTCAAGGAAAAAAACGCAGGCTCATTTTATACAGAATAATGTTCGATAGAGTTAAACTTAAAAATTACACTTGATAATCTTAATCACAATAATTTTAATCATTGAATAAATAATAGATTCTAATAAATGAGATTAACCATTAATTTCAAAAATTAACCATTGATCCTAATAATTAGATTCTAATTCTAAATTTGTATCCTTAAAGAATTAAATTATCAAATGCTCAATGTTATAAAACAGATGCAATGTCAATGTAGCCCAATTCAAGGGTGAAATTTAAGATTTAGGGCTCAATTCAAGCTTGAAATGGGTCACATTGTACCATTTTTATAATATTGAGGTTACAATTTGAGAACCTAATTATTATATCTTTTGAGATATAAAGTGAAATTAGCCCTTAGGAGAAATTATATTTGATACCCCTAAAGTTTTATCAAATTTATATGTATACAACGGTGGTCTCCAAAGTTTGGACTTTTTCTCAAATTTATATTAGTATTTGTGCATGTGTGTATTTTTTGTGTTCATTTTTTCGTACAGTTAATTAACTAATTATACATGGTTATTGATGATTTTGTTTTTGGTGGTTTGGATAAACATGGTTATGATAAGACGTGGTGATATGTATAATTGTAAGTTTTATAGACAGGTTTAGATTGTTTTGGGCTTCTATTTTTAGAGGAAATTCTGCCCAAATTTCTTGAAATTAGTAGGGACTAACTTGATGTTTTAATGGTTGGATATGTGTTGATGATTGAGTATGTATTGATTATTGTGTTGGTATATTGAATTATGATGATTGTTATGTATGATTATAAGTTCTATAAACAGGTTTAGATTTTTATGGATTCCTATTTTTAGAGAAAATCATGCCAAAATTTCTGGATATTAGTATGAACTACTTTGATTTCAAATTGACAAGTTATTTTATGTTGCTAAGAGTCTTTAGGTAATTTAGGATTGTTCGAGTTTTAAGTTACATGAGATTACCTTGATTTCGATGGCACGGGCAATTACTATTCCATATATACAATAGGACTATTTATTTTTTTCTCTGTCATATGTTCGTATGACCTACATGTCATGTTATTTGTGTCGTGTTCGTGTTAAGACCTGCAAAAAAAAATCTATTTAGTGTATTCTGAGTATTAAATATTAGTCTAGACTATTTATTTTGTGTATTTAGTAATTGTTTCAATTTTATAATGGTTCGTGTCGAGTTCATGTCAGGTTCGTATTAACGGGTCAGAGTTGACACCCCAAATTATGAGTATCAAATATTACTCTATATTGATGTGAAAATTTATGAACTACCATAAACCATACAGATTAATCGTGTCTTTGTCAACTTTCATAGACAAGTTTTTGAACTCTTTTGGTATTAGATGTTAACAATGAGTTAGGTGATATGCATTGTTTAATGTTTACCAAAAAACAAACAAATAATTAATAACCAAGAAGTAAAATCAGTTTCTGATTTAGAAAACTTCAACAAAATCGATAGAATAATTTTCACATGTTTCTAGAGTTAGGTCATTTGAGAACTCCTCTCTTGTGCTTGTTATCATCTTCCCCAACTATTGTGAGTATGTTGTGCAGGTGGTGGCTATTGTCGTTGCACTTTAGTTACAAAAGCCATCAAACATTCTTTCCTTTCTTTCATGGCATAACAGATGTAAATTAACATAATTACTCATAATATAATAAAAAAAACAACTCTTGTCCTATGATAATTTTCTAGCCAAAGAAAATTCAATGTCTTTTGTTGTAATCCAAACTAACGAAAAATTAATAGTTATTATAGACAAAGTTATGTAGAAAATCTCTGTATAGCTTACAATAGCCAACTTAAGAATATGATTTTCTCATCAAACTCCATTTGATTTTAAGTCCCTAGTATTCATTGGCATTTCAATAAACAATTCCCTCATGAAAAACACAAATATCACATTATTAAAATACTACAATCACTAAAATCTAAATTTACTTATTTCTAAATAAAAATTCAAATTATTGTTTACTTAAATAAAGCTGATACTACAACTATCTTATTATTATTTTTTTTTGAAGGCAATAATACAATTATCTCACTGAGTAGAAAATATAGAAACCGATATTCAATTTCACTGAGTTGAGAATCTAAAATCAACTTTCAAGTTTTTAGTGGGCTCTAGTATTTTATCAGCAACTAAACACAAGTGTAGTTCACATAAAATTAGAAGTATAACCAAACAAACAAAAATTCATAGCGTTATTACTTATACTTGAATTTCGTCCTTTGAGTTCAAGAGGCAAATAAGCTTTTTGCTTCTTATTTCCAAAGGTGGCAGCTACTTGGACAATAGCTAAATTATCAACTTGTGCAGCTAAAAAGGCAAGAAAGATTTTCGAATCAAGAATTGTCAACCTCAAATAAACCGGTAATCAAATACATGTACAACTATAGAAGCAATTTCCAAATAGAAATACTAAACCTTGAGATTATGGTTTCAAAATATAGTAAACAATCACACATTTGAAAATATTTAGACCTAGATTTGGAATAGTCATTGGACAAAAAAGAGTCATTGTGGATGAACTGAAGCTAGGACATAGCACAAGTAAACAAATAGCTTACTTGGCTCTTTTTTATCCGTAGATCTGTTATTGGACTATGCCACTGTTGATTATTCTCTTAGTTTCTTAAAATGGATTCTTAAACAATTGCAAAATCATGACAAGTGAAGATTCTTACACAATTGCAAAATCATGACAAGTTTCACTCAATCAAAGATGACCAAAAAACAACTCGCCATACGTTAAGTTGGGAGCTTCATACCCTTCAAAACATTTCAACACAATAAAGTAATTAAACTCTTGAATAAGCCATCACACTGAAAATCAAATAAAGGAGCATTGCCAATTAGGATCCCACTAATCAAGGGGGTTGGGAGAGATGGAAGATAAAGGCCCAACTTTAGGGATCCAAATCCTCTTCATTATATCACCTATTGTGTAAGGACCTAAATTTGTCTGTAAGATTCAAACAATAATAATGGAATACAAAAACTGTGCAATCCAAGTGTAGATAGAAAAAGTGTTGTTAAGTACCTACATACAAACTACTCCTGTCTAGCGAACAAAACTCAAGAATTGTTGTTTGCAATTCCTTCGAATAATCTGAAATACACAAATACCATTGTATATGAAATACAAAATACCAAACAAAATTCAAGAACATGAGGGACGATCAAGATACCATAGCAGAGAAAGGGAGAAGGACTTCATCATATTAGAATCAATATGTAAATAATTGATGTAAAGAGAAGCTTGGAGGAAGAGGGGAAAGTTGAACAGAGGTGGGTGTCTGTTTTTTTTACCCAATAATCAATGCATAGAGAAGAGAGAGAGAGAAGGGGGAGTGTCTGTTCATTTTTTTCCTGGGCAGTGAATGCGCACGAGAGAGAGAGAGAGAGGGGAAGAGAATAACAGAGAGAGTGTCTGTTTTTTATTCCCGAGTAGTGAATGTGTGTGTGTGTGTGAGAGAGAGAGAGAGAGAGAGAGGAACTACGGTTGAAAGTGAAGTAGCAGGTTTATCAGGATAAGGATGTGCAATTAATTATGAAGGATAAAGATATGGACTAAATAATTATATTTTTGCAGGGTAAAGTTGAAAAAAAATAATTTTTAAGTGTTTTGATATTTTAAAGTAATATATAGATATACTAGTCATTATTCGTATCTGAAGTCAATATATAACAAATTTTTTTTTTTTTTACATAATTGTCTAAATTCAAAAAGAATGATCTAATTATTTATTTAAAATGACTCAAAATATATCACTGATCATATATTCCATAGTAATAGAATTGTCGTAAAAATATATAAAACTCTTCAAAACAACATCATATATACAAATGCCTCTGAAAAAAAAAATAAATACTAAAATAATCCATTAAAATTTACAATATTTAAGTAATAAATAAAATTTTACTCATTTATAAGATTCATAAATTTATTACCTTTATCACCACTTAATTCAATAACAGAATATAATTATAAACATAATCATCATATTTCCAATCCACTCTATCTCCATGTAATAAATATCTTAAGCAAAAAAAATATATTAATATAACGTAATTAAATTCACACGATAAATAAAATCAATCAAATCTTATATTAATATAACATAATTAAATTCACACGATAAATAAAATCAATCAAATCTTATATTAATATAACATAATTAAATTCACACGATAAATAAAATCAATCAAATCTTACTTATTTATAAAACTCATGAATTTATCACCACTATTACCATTCAACCCCAAATGACATAATAAAATTATAAATTTAATTACAAAATTTTCAATCCTCGACATATAAATATACACAGACACATACTCTCACACATTTATTTTTTGGCTAACAACAAACCTTCCTAACCAATAACTGTTTTTACTAGAAATATAATAATTCAAGTTTTTATGATAAAATAATAATAAAATAATTTCTAATTAAAAATTAGGGTAAAAAATACGGACTTCTCTTGAGTTTTTACAATATTATGCGGACACCCCTTGATATTTTATAAATAACACGGAAATTCTTAGAGTTTAAAATTTATTACATAGAGACCCCCTCTGTTTGCCTTCCTTCAATATTACGAACGAAAAGTGATGATTTTATCCCAAAAAATAAATTATTATTTTTATAATTGCCTTTCTCCAACTTTAGTATCCAAAAAAATAAAAAATTTAATAAAATAAAATAAGATTTAATTTAGTACCTAAAAAATTGATATAATTTAATAACCAAAAAAATTGATTAAATGAATTTTAATATTAATTTGATAACAATAAAAATTAGTTTGATATTAATTCAACAAAGTTGAATATAAATTGGACAAAATTAAATATCATTTTTGGATAAAAATATATATTAATTTATAATTTAAGGTTCATTTCGTGTTGAATATTATTTGTTGTTGATTAAACCAACATGAAATTGACTTTAAACTATAAATTTTTTTGTTGTATATAAACTTAAAATTTTGTATTTTAACCAATAAAATTTAAATACAAATTTTTTTATAGCATAGCGTATTCTCTCTTACTATATCATTTGATAAATTTTATTTTGGTCAAGATTCAACCACACATACTTAAACCAAATCAATTATTCATCCCCACTTTTTTTTTTAAGAGAATTGCTCACATTCGTTTGTTAAACTCAAAAATCTCTTGTTCACATGAAAATAAGTGAAAGTAAATTAAAAATTTAAGTACCAAAATTATAACAAATAGAGCAAACATTAAAAAAAAACTAAAAAAATAATCCATATAAAAATCATTATCAATGAGAATTTTAGAGGATTTTAGGCTCCGAATCAATTAAAATCTAATATCAGGCAAAGATGTGAAACTCAGATAAAAAAGTCATTAAATCGTAAAAAATGTGTGCTATTTTTTATTTACATTAAGTGATATTTATAAATTAAGAAGCAAGTGACAAAATACATGTTGTCAAATATATAAAACTTTGAATTAATTTTATGGAATAAATAATTGCATAACATGTAGTTTCATATATTTTATGGAGTAAATAATAAAAAAAATAACACTTGAAAAATAAAAAAAATAAGATAATAATATGAGAGAGAGAGAGAGGTAGTACAAGATAGATATAAAAAAAGTTAGATAAACGATAAAAATCTTAGAAAAATTTGGCATAAGAACCGTCAGATCAATAATTGTTAAGCGATTTGAGCCGCGAAAAGCTAAAGAAAAAAAAATCTAACTATTTTATTATATAGATATAGTAACATTAAAAATAAAAAATAGTAACATTCAAACACAAAAAATAATACCATTTAAACACAAAAAAATAATAATATTTAAAAATAAAAAATAGTAACATTGAATATTAATGTTTTAAAAACATAACAGAAATAACATAATCAACAAAAAAAAATATTGAATATTGATATTTTAGAAAAATAGTAACAATCAATATTAATAGGAAAACATACTTATCAAAAAAATAATAGCATGCTCAACAACAAATAATAATATGCACAACCAAAAAATAATAACATGAAAAAAAAAATAGTAATATACATAGTAACATGCAATATTAAATTAATCATAGTCGTCTTAGCCAAAAAAAAATGAGAGAGAGAGATAAATGGTAGTGATGTAAAATTTAAATTTGAGTTTCAAATTTTATGGAAAAAAAATCTTCCATTAAATGTGAATCAATGATGACTCTTTAGAAAACTGATTTAATGTTGAAAATTATTTTTTAAGTCAATAGAAGAGCATTTTAGAGTTTTAAAAAAATAGTAGACTTAACTACTCATTAATAAGATTAAAAATGAACTTACCCACATATAAATTTATTTGGTAAATTAAACTTATTATAGGTCTATTAAAGAGAACTCAGTCTTAATTTTCACAAAAAAAAATTCACTCATAACTTGGAGAGAGATTGAATTAGTTTTAGGAAAACCCTTTAAACCCAACCCAAAAGATTTCTACATGGGAGTGAATCAAAAACTCACTCTAATTTCATGTTTGGTAAGTGACATAAATATATATAGAGTCTATAGATTTATGTCAAATCATATTAGTCAATTTACTAAAATGTTCATTACTAAGTGAATAGAAGAATATTTCTTTTAGGTAAAATAGTCTGTTTGTCTTCAAATTCAATCTTTTCTTTTTGAAACCTACCCCCATGGGCTTCGTCAAATTCCCAAACTTGACTTTTAATAAACTATTCATTGAGGGCTAAAAATATGAATCTCAAATTTAAAAGTCCTAATAAAAAATGAAATTAAGTGGTTTATCAAACTAATTCATGTCATATTTAGTTTGTATTATGACGTGTTGTGTATAAATCATATATAACTGATATATAACCGAATCATCTCATGTATTCCGTTTGGTTGCCTTTACCCATACCAAATTAATTTATTAATCATGTGGGATTCATTCATTTAGGAAGGATGATGACTTGAGGATTAAAAAACCCTTTGTAACAAGCCCGATATCTCGTATTTACATGCATTTTCAGTGACAACACCGGTACTAGATCTTTTATCCACAAATTTCCCAAACCCTTGACAAAAGATCACCAAGTATGATTTGACTGTGGATCATGGCAAAACACGACGTATTTACAGATGAATTCATCGCTCATAGTTCCAGTAGCCTTCACTGGGAATACAGACAGGTAAGTAGAAATACATATACCGCATATTAAACAGGTATGGTATTACACTTGCAACAGCTCTCAATTCACTAAAAAGTTAGCCAGAGGCTAGTGAATAATGAGGCCGTCTTATGCTTGTCTTGGTGCTTTATTCAAGTTTGGAACTCGAGACACGTACATATCAGGCTTGATTTCTGGCTAAAGATGAGGCAGCAGTGTGATTAGACCATACAAATATCCTCCAAAATGGTCGTTGCTTGCGTTTAGGTTGAATCGACTGTGATTCTGTTCTCCTAAGCATCTCCCACATCACCTGAACGTCCTCATATCCACACGTTTGTATATCATCCCGAAGCATCAAAAGCCCAGCGCCTAAACAAAACAAAACCAATGGAGGGTATATGTAAATGATCCGTCTATGACAAATAGTTACAGAGGACAAAAGAAGATCATAAATGGAAGCATCTTAACAATAGTTTTTTTTTTTTTTGGAACATCCTAACAATAGTTGGCACAATCAAGATTGTTCTGATCCGTAGATTAGCACCAGTACAACAAACTAAGGCATTCCTCATAGCAAATCCTATCTCCAGAATTCTGTTGCAAGAAACCACAAACATTTATGCAGGTCTTTTTGTTACATACAAAAGTGCCACCAAGACAAGATAGGGATGTCTGGCACTATCTAAGGGCCCAATTATTTAGCGGTCACCAATCAAGGTGCATAAATAAAGGCATAAATTGAGTCATTTTCAATATGGGTGTCCCAAATCGATTATATGTAAGGGGTCTTTCTGGAGCGAAATATAAATATAAGTCGAGAACCATGACACTTCTCAAGCATGATGCTTAAGTTGGGCTTTCTCTTTATGTTGATTACAACTTCGAAGGTTAGAATTTAGTTTCTTGTGATTGATCGAGTGGGCGGGTGAAGTGCGCTGATATCGCCTTTGTTACCTGGATCAGACACCTCTTGTATGACTACAATGCATGTTCCTAGATCATTACCTCCTATTCCAGTTTAATATAAAAGAATGAATGGTATTTTTTAACACCTTGACCTTTTATTTGCGGAAAAGTGAAATAGACAGGGTATTCATATAAAAAATATATCAACACTGACCCACTGGCCACTGAAGATCCATATTTAAATTGTTAGTGGCTGGAATTATCTTCAACTTGATCTCTGATTAGTCTTAACTTAGGTGAACCTTTAATAATATGCTTGCTGTTTTATATTTACAGACGAAAATGAATATAAATCAGAACCCATCATAGCAACATAAACTAACACGAATAAAGTACAACACATCCATCATTTACCAGAAATTGAAACAGTTCCTTGCTATTACCAAGCATAATCTTCTTCTTCTTCTTCTCTTCTTTCTTTGAGCTTCTAATTTTTTTTATCCATTAATAGATATTCAGTTTAAGTATTCACTGAGTATTCATTTGTGTGGTTATCAATTTAGTTGTCCCTTTGTTAAGGAACCAAGTATGATCTGTTAGTCATTAATCCTAGTGGATGTTAACATCACCAATGGAATCTTTTAGTCAATGTTTCAAAATATTTTTCAATGAAAATACAGAGTAACACGGCCTTGAAATAACTTCACAGCTGTAAAACGTAATGTTCACACAAATCTTACTACTGTAGAAATTGTGGTAAAAAAGGAATGAAAGTTTCGTATTATATCTAAATAATACGAACCTAAGTAGTTTAATAATCAAGTGATTATAAGTTATCAATATCCTTTGCCGCATCAATTTGGTTAAGAACCCTTTATATCAACTCTCCTACTAATGAAAATGATCCTTTTTTCTGTCACTGAGAACAAGAATTATTGATTGATGACTCTATCAAAGCTACCAGAGAAGATTAATTTTGTGCAATTTTCCATTGATTCTAGATAAACATGACCAAGAACATGTTTCATGGAATGAAGGAATCATTCTTTCGGTGAACTAAAATCTAAAATTCCAAACCATCTCGAGTTAAGGCATCTACGCTAAGTCAGAAGGAGGAAAGAATCCCTTTTCATTGGTCACTAATTAAAGAATCTCTCACTAGAGTTTGTGGCCAAATACATGCCTCTTTTCAAAGCAAATATTGACTCTCTCTCTCTCTCTCTCTCTCTCCCCTTCCACCCCTCAAAAGAAAACACCTAATACCATTTGGATATACATGCTTCTTTTCAAAGCAAATAGTGACCCCCCCCCCCCTCTCTCTCTCTCTCCCTCCCACACCCCACAAAACCCAAAAAAAAAAAAAAACCCAAAAGAAAACACCCAATACCATTTGGAGTACTTTTATTTTCCATAATTGTCCTGATAAACTTATATGCATTTAAAGGTCCTACTGTGTAATGTTCACTATAGATAGGAAAAAGGGAAACAATTATCGATCGATTTTCTATTGAATGAAGAAAATTCCAAGTTTTATTTCCAATAGAGAAATGAGTTAAAGTCATAGTTTCTGGCATGATAATTAATCTTAATGGGTTTATTTATTTATTATTATTCAGCTAAACCAACTCATTTCTCACCAAATGATTGTCACCAAAATTTCTCTCCTCCTTGCCAAAAAAATCCAATTAATCCTTCATCCGGCAAGAAACAGAGAAACAATTGCAAAAACTATCACACACACACAAATATAATATATGTATATATATATGTGTGTGTGTGTGTGGAGAGAGAGAGAGAGAGTTGATTACCGTTCTTGCGAGACTTAACACGGGCAGAAAGAGAAATCCAAACTCTTCTAACAGGGAAGACCATTTTGTGCCACCAGTCCATCACCTTTATCTTGACCTTCCTCCTTCCACTCCCACTGAGTCGACACAAAATCGCCCTTAACCCGGCCAGAGCTGTTCTTTTAATCTAAACCCACCTCTGTATGCACATGAGGAATGAGGTAAGGGGAGGGATAGAAAGAGAGATGCCAGTGACACAGAACGTCTAACGGTTGTTCCAAACTTGGGTGGGATTTCAATATATGATTTGAGAGTCACCGACACGTGACGGTGAGCGGTGGCCTTTTGGAACTTTTTCGATTAATAAATTGCAATGCGACACGTGGTGTTAATGGGCAGTTTGACTCTTCAGTTTTAACGTTCTTAGCTGGTTTGAATTTTAACAACCTAAAACGGGATACTTCGAGCAATGAGTTATATATTTAACTGTTTTGAATTTAAATTTTAATAATTTTTTAGAGTTAGGTTAAGAGAGATTTATCTCTCATGAATTTCTTAATCTTAAAGTTGATAGCTTATTTTTTATCAGATCAAAAAAAAAAAATCAAAATACACGTAAGCTGATCCGAACAATCATACCCGTTATACTAAAAAAAAAAATTAAAAACCAAAATCCTTTGTCCATGAGTTTGGAGAATATCAAATAAAAATGGATCAACATCAAAATTTTAGTTTAAAACGATTGAAACAGTTAAAATTATTTTCGTTTTTAAAGAGACCAAATTACTCACAAATTTTTGGGTGATTTGAAATTTAAACATTTAGAACCTTGGGCATTGTTCAGGACTTTTGAAAAATATCGAATAAAATAGACTATGATTAAAATTTAGTTTTAAAATGATCGAAATGGTTGAAATTGTTTCCATTTTCAATGAGATTAGAAGGAATTACAGTTGAATCAAAAAATTTAATATTTTAAGATGTTTCAAAATACTTCGATGTGTTTCAAAATTTTTTTTACATATTTTCACTAATGTTTTAATGTGCTCTAAATTATCTCAATATATTTTGATCAATATTTTAAAAATAAATTCTTGAATATTTTTTATTATTTTTTTGTAACGTTTTCATTTCCCAAGTAATCAAAGCAAGGTAATAAAATGAAATTTTGATACTTAAGAACACTATTACTTAAGTGTCGAATTTTGGTGGTTAAATTAGAATTTGAACACCAAGTTAGTTGTAATTTGTTCCACATTGATATGCTATGGTTTTGTAAACACTCCTAGGTATATATGTATACATATATTTTTTGATTTAACAGTTAGGGGTGTTTGAACTAATTATACGAAACTCGATTAATTTCCTTGTCGATCCGATAAAAAACATGTCATCCACATTAGAATTAATGTATTTACGAAGGATAAATCTCTCGTAGTTTGACCCTAAAAAATTATTACTATAGATTTTTGATTTTATAGATAAATTTGTTTTTTTTCTTGTTAAATAGTCAAATTCACTACTTCTCTGAACACACAAAAATTTGTTAAAATCAATAGTAAAGCTCGATTTGATCCGGTTGATAGTTTTTGATTATGCACAAATTGATTTTATATACCACCTATCAAGTAATTAGTACAGATAATAAAATAGAGAGAAAAACTCAACGCAAAATTTAAGTGATTCAGCAAAGATGACCTACGCCACTGTGAAATGTTAGGATGATC